GCGGGGCTCGAACCAGGAACAGTGAGATCATGACCTGATCATGACCCAGACGCCCCAAGTGCTGTTTGTTTTTTTAATTTTCAAATGTTTTATTTCTTTTTGAGAGAGAGAGCAAGCAAGCGAGAGTGGGAGACACAGAATTCGAAGCAGGCCTTCGAGAGCTGTCAGCAACAGAGCCCGATGTGGGGCTCGAACCCACAAACCGTGGGATCATGACCTGAGGCGAAGTCAGGTGTTTAACTGACTGAGCCCCTAAGCACCCGTGATAAGTGCTGTTTGGATAAAAATAGAATAACGTTCTAGTGATGGGGGTGGAGCCTGGAACGGCATTAAAATAGGGGCGGAGGGACTACCTGTCTGAATTGGTAAACTTAGAAGTGAGTTACTTGAATGAGTTGTGGGCAGACATAAGGTTTAGAGGAAGAGTGTTCTAAGCAGAAGAAATGAAGAGTCCTGAGGCCCTGAGCTGTGTCTCTCCTTGGTTTCAAGGACTCGGCAAAAGAATTAAGTGACTGCAGCAGTGTCATGGTTGGGGAGTGTGGCAGCTGATGGCATGGGGTGATCCCCGCGAACCTTGGACACCATTTAGACTGAGCTCGAGTTCCCCTGGTCGTCTTAAACTAGACACCAATGTGATGTGCTTTATCCTGTAGGCTAGAGGTTGGCACACATTTTCCGTGATGTGCCAGACAATCCCTAACGTAGGCTCTGCAGGCCGTAGTGTCTCTGTTGAGACTACAGCTCTGCCGTTGTGTCAAAGACAACGTGTACATGAAGCAGTAAGACTGTGTTCCAATAAAACCGTGTTCACAGTAAAATAAAACTGTTATAGTAAACTGTTTATTTACAGACACTGATAAGTGAATTTCATATAATTTTTAAGGGTCATGAGATGCCGTTATTCTTTTGATTTTTTTTTTTTTAAACCTATTTTGCCTTGTGGGCTGTGCAAAAACAGGCAGTGGGTTGTGGCAGGCCGATGCCTCATGGGTCCCAGTAGGTGAGAAGTTATTTTGCAAGCTCAAAGAAGAACAGCTTTGTAATTTGAATTAATAACTATCAAAATTTAGTCAGTTAAGGGGGAATAGTAGTTGCCACTGATAGGGAAACCAGTGGGAGAGGCAGCTAGGAGTAATGATTTTGTTTCCCTGTTTTCAGGGAATGACGAGCAGCTGTGGTCAACTGATCCTTTGCTTTAGCTCTGACTTTGTTTAGGACGAAACTCCTCATCCTGGCTGATGCCTGGGAGCCTTGGCCAGTGACTATGGTTACTGTTTTCAAAGTATGATGATACAGTGTGTATTTTCTGCGTTTTCTTTCTTCAGAAAAGGTGGGGGGAGAAAGTACAAAGGAATGGAGCACTTAATGACTAAGGAGTGAATTTTTCAAATCTACGTATCTGCAGCTTGTTATTCTCACCTGCTTGTTATTGGAATGATCATGCTAGCAATAGAGTTTTTTTTTTTTAAATGTAATGTTTGTTTATTTTTGAGAGAGAGAGTGAGTGAGCAGGGGAGGAGCAGAGAGAGGAGATGCAGAATCTGAAGCAGGCTCCAGGCCCTGAGCTGTCAGCACAGAGCCCATCATGGGGCTCAGGCTCATGAACCATGAGATCACTACCCGAGCCAAAGTTGGATGCTCAGCCGACTAAGCCACCCAGGCGCCCCTGGCAATAGAATTTTAATGTGTGCAGATGGGACTTTGAGAAATGCAACAACACCAAATAAATGCCGGTTTCCTCTTAGTGCATAAAAATATAAAGACCAGGATAAAAGTTTCATGAAATCTCATCTAGAAGTCGTTTTCATGCACAGCAATGAACTTGTTTGAAAGCTTTTAAATGCATATACTTCTCTTCCTGGAAAAAGAAGTGAGAAAAGATGTGAAATATGTATGTAATGCAAAAACTTCTTTTGGGTGATAGACTTTGCAGCTAATGAACTAATTACTATGAACTGACCAACTTTAAACATGGTTGCTTTCGTGAATTCCAATTTAGCTCATCGAGTTCCAACTTTAAATTATCTAGTTATACAACATTAATAAAAAGTTAGATGCTCAAGTACTTTAAGGAAAAATTTTGATTAAGATGAAGATAATCTAGGAGATAGACAACTTAAGTTCCTTTTGGTAGCTTTGAATTGAGTTAAAAAACAGCTTTTAAAATGTTAGTTTCAGGTAAGGGTATAATTAACATCGTTTGTATAGACTTTTTGGAATAGAGTGGAGATGACTACTCATCAGTTTGTAGCTGGGGCATGCAACTTTGTTAGTACCGAGTCTGGTTGGAGTGGAGTAGTTGGCAGTGTATGTCCACAATATTTGTATAGTGATTTCTGTTTATGAACCACTTGTCACTGTAGCTTTATGATACAGTCACATGGAAGTGGGGATACATTTTAAAACCCAGATACTCTTAAGGAGCAGGGATAGATGGGTTGTAATATGCTGTAATTATTTTAATTATTTTTCCCCCAAGGGGTAACGTTTTAGGGAAAAGTTTGTTTCAAATATTAACTTTTATGAAGGTAACTTTAAGAATCATTTGTTTACCACCTAGATTGATTTTGCTGACACAAAAGATAAAGTGCTGGTGTTTTTCAAGCTGCGACCTGAAGTAATTACTGATCAGAATCTACATAGTAACATTCTTGTTTCATCTATGTTAGAATCACCTATAAATTCTCTCTATCAAGCCGTGCGGCAAGTATTTGCACCAATGTTGTTAAAGGTAAGTAAAATAAAGTAGCTGTACGGTCATTTTTGTTTTTTGTTTTTTGTTTTTAACATAGGGGTTTGCATTAATGTCTCTATAAACACAGAGAAAAATATTATTTTATTTATTAATATCATTAGTGTTTTTGTTTTTGAAAACGTCTCATAAAAATTGAAAAAAATTTTAAAGTCAGCTTCGTTGACAAATAGAAGAATGGGAGAAAGGTATAAATGCAGTCCACACAGCTCTTATGTTGCTATACAGGAAATTACAAAGTTTTAACTGTTGAAAGGACTTTTTTTTCTCCCTTATGTGATGGAGGTAGTCAGGCTTTGAGTGGCATGGTGTATTTGGACTTATTTCTCTCAACAGTATTTTAAGGGGGCCAGTTTGATTGGGGAACTTGTGGTCAATGTTTGCTCTTGTCTGTTTTTATTTAGGATCAGGAATGGAGCAGAGACCTTGATCCCAAACTTCAGAATCTTTTGAGTGAACTAGAAGCTGGGTTGGGCGTAGTTCTACGAAGATCAGACACTAACTTATCAAAATTGAAATTTAAGGAAGATGACACACGAGGTAGAGAACCATAACTTAAAGTCAAAATAGCTTTCTTACTAGTATGCTAGTAAATTAATGTATTTTTTCACAGACTTTTCTGAGCCTGAGCTTCCTTTAAATGAGTAGATTTACAAGGATTTTGAGAAGAGGAAAGTGCAATCTTTAACAATGTGCAAGTCACGGCAAGAGAAAATGCAGTTGCTTCTCACAATTTGCAGTAGTTACGTTCTGTAAAGTCACTGTGAACACTGCATCGGTAACGACTGAATAGAGCTCCTCGGGTGAAAACAGGATTAGGTTCCTGTGAGCCTCTGGTCATAACATTTTCTACTCAACATAGAACCATAGTTTACGTGTGTTTCTGCTTAAAGACACTGTTATTAATATAGATTGGTGATTACCCTTGAGCTCACTGCCAACAGCCCTGTAACTCGTGCCTGAGTGAAGCTTCTCTAACACAAGTATTTTCTCAGGAAGTCACATCGCAGTGTTCTTGGCCTTGGTAACACTAGGCTGTACTTCGGTCCTGTGCTCGGGGGCCATCTTAAACAGAGCACTCACCAATAAAAAGCCCCCCAAATGAGAAAAACATGCAGCTGGATAGGTTGCAAAAAGGAGAATTGTTTACAGCAGGAGATCTGAAACAGGCAGCGTGGCTTTGTAGAGCCTCAGCTGGGAACGTATGCGTGGGGTGACTTGAATTGTTTGTTGCTCTGCACATGTCTGTGAGCGGTCACAAAAACACCGCAGGCATTGATTTCAGATTACAAGTAAATGTTAGGAAATGGATGAGTTCATAAATCCGGCATCTGTGAATACATAGGATTGACCCCTAATGGTCTACTTGGCAAAGATACTTGATTTTAATTTTAAAAGTGTATTTTATCTGAAGCTAGTTATAATTTTATTGTACTTGTAGATGATATTATTTATATGAACAGTTCACATGAAATGCATGACATACACAAATCCTATTTTACAGTACTGGATACAGTTTTACACTCTGCTTGAGCAGTAAATCAGATACTTTTTGAGTCCTATAGGCCTAGAATAGTGCACATATTTGCAGTGTGTGATTAAGCAACTAGAAATTGTCCAGTTCTTTGGGAAATATAAAAGCAAATTGAAAAGTAAGATTATTTTTATTTATTTATATTTTGACATTAAATTACAAGTGTTTATTGATTAAATTGTAATCATTTCTAATTTGGATGGTGTTCACTGAGATGCACGGTATGCACAGTGACCGAATGACGACACATGTGAACTACAGTGGGTCGTGTCTGTAAGTCATTAAGGCCACTTCCTTTGAGTAACTAGAAGAAATGAATCCAAACTTAAAATTAGGGCAAGAGCAAAAGTAAATGAATCGACTTTTTGTCATTCTCATTTTTTCTCCTGGCTGTCATGACATTTATGTTTGCGAGGGAACTTGTAGGGTATTTGCATCAAGAAGTAACCCGTCGACCTGGTAGGAAAAGGAGGCGAAAGTTATATGACAGGTTTTAGAATTGTAGCGTTTGCTACAAAGGCTTCGGAAAGCCGTGTGCTGCAGAAGCAAGTTTGCTAGTATTAGATGCAGACCGACAGCCTGCATGTGGATGGTTGACAAACACATACGGGAAACATACTGAGCACCAAACCTGCAAAGCATAAATTTGATGCTGTTAATTGTTGTTAGTGCATTTAGGTAAGAACTGTCTGTTGACAGAAATCGTAAAACTTTATGTACATCTTCGAGAGTACAGGATAGACGTGCAATCAGCAAATGAACCAGATAATTTTCTGGCTTTTCATTCTCAATGGGTATTTCTTTTTTTCCCTTTATACCTTTTCAGGTATTCTTACACCAAGTGATGAGTTCCAGTTCTGGGTGGAAGAAGCTCATCGTGGAAGTAAACAGATTAGCAGAGAGAGAGCTGGCTATTTTAAGGAGCTGTTTGAAACCATCGCAAGAGTACGTGGTTCCTACACGGTCATATGCCAGGCTTCAGATGGAGGTGCTTAGGGCCCAGCTGCATCAGAGTTCCCTCTGTTTTACAGCTGTTACTTGATGGTTATGAACGAAGTACATCCTTCATGTGTAGCAGGGTTTTCTGAAGGTGTGCATGTAACGTGGGTAGAACTTAGAAACGAAAACTTGTACGAAAGGTAGATTCTAATCTCTAGTACATATTTTTCTCAAAAACGTCATTACTTTTCTGCAGGTAGACAGGAAAAGCAAAGCCTGAAACACTAGCAGACGTTAATCTACTTGAAGGCAGTGGTCCTTTTGAAAGAATGTTCGCTTTATTCAAATTAGCGTTTTGAAGTAATTTGAAGTATGAAAAGTCTTAGTTTTATACTCGATTGATTATTCTTTGAAATATTCAGAAGTTGAATAAGTGAAGATTCTTTTCGAAATAAATGCCTAGTAATTTTCTCTTTATTCCCAAGATTGCTTCAATAATACCATTTTAGTGAAGTGTTTGAAATGGTTTTAAGCTCTTTTTGTGATAATAATGGAATATAAAGTAAGAAATCTTGAACTCTAATTGTATTACTGGTAACGTGCAGCACAGTGACCGAATGACGACACGTGTGAACTACAGTGGGTCATGTCCGTAAGTCATTAAGGCCACTTCCTTTGAATAACTAGGAGAAATGAATCCAAACTTAAAATTAGGGCAAGAGCAAAAGTAAATGAATTGACTTTTTGTCATTCTCATGTTTTCTCCTGGCTGTCATGGCATTTATGTTTGCGAGGGAACTTGTAGGGTATTTGCATCAAGAAGTAACCCGTCGACCTGGTAGGAAAAGGAGGCAAAAGTGATGTGACAGGTCTTAGAATTGTAGCAGTTGAAAAGTCTGGGAACATGTTGACTGTATTGCCTAAGGTACAGTTACCATTACGTTTAAAAATGAATGCCTTTTGGTTTTAGGAGTTCTATAACTTGGACAGTCTATCCTTACTGGAAGTGGTTGACTTGGTGGAGACCACCCGGGATGTTGTAGATGATGTGTGGAGACAAACAGAGCATGATCACTTTCCTGAGTCACGGATGTTACATCTCTTAGATGTCATAGGTACTGGTAAAGAAGTAAACTTGTGGAACTTTGGAAGCCTGCCTTATTATCTTCTAGTTTTTCTTTCAAGTTCTTACTGAAAGTGCTCCTTAATGTAATAATTGTTGCTTAGGGTAACTTTTAGAGCAAATCATATAGGATTATTTAAATGGAAATTTGTATATAGTTGGTTAATTTAAATAATATGTGTCAAATTCTTTGACCATGAATACAAGTAAATTTACATAGATTTGTAGTCCCTACACGTGTATTAATTTAAGCTTTATTTTGTAATGATCTCCAAAGTCTTAAAGGGTGTTGGTTTGTCAGTACTCAAAGTGCATATGCTTTTTGACCTAGAGAATACCATTGGCATTCTTATCCTCAGGAAATATTACACAAGCACATCGAGGTATATGGGCAGGGACATGTACTGTGGCATCATTTGTAGGAGTACAGAAACATTGTAGGAGTAGAAACAAATAGCATTCGAGAATTGGTTGTATAATGCTACATCCACACAGTAGGCCCTGCGACCTTTTGAAAAAATAATATGTATTTCTGCGCTTGAAAGGTGCACATGGTATATTGAAAGATGCGAAAATAAAAACAAACGTGTGTGTGCATGCATGTCTTGAAAGGTATTTGTTTTTGATAATCTAAGGATGTGGATGTGGTATTTCATAGATCCTTAGTTTGCTAATTTGTATTATTTTAAACTTTGTCATAAGCATGTGTTCTATAATTATTTGTTAAAAAGACATTTCCATTAAAAATTTTCTTTCTTGGGGCACTTGAGTGGCTCAGTCGGTTAAGCGTCCGACTTTGGCTCAGGTCATGATCTCACAGCTCGTGAGTTTGAGGCCTGTGTAGGGCTCTGTGCTGACAGCTCAGAGCCTGGAGCCTGCTTCTGATTTTGTGTCTCCCTCTCTCTCTGCCCCTCCCCCGCTTTTTCTCTGTCTCTCTCAAAAATAAATTAAAACATTAAAAAAATTAAAAAAATTTGCTTTCTCTTTTATTAGGTGGTTCATTTGGAAGATTTGTTCAGAAGAAGTTGGGAACTTTGAATCTGTGGGAAGATCCTTACTGTCTTGTGAAAGACCACCTCAGAGCGGGTGTGTCCATTTGTGAACAGTGGGTGATCGCCTGTAACCACCTCACGGGTCAGGTGTGGCAGCGCTATGTTCCTCATCCGTGGAAAAGTGAGAAATACTTCCCTGAAACACTAGACAGACTGGGCAAGCGCCTGGAAGAGGTATCGTTTGTTTCTCTGGATCTCTGACGTTAAGTGTCAGGTAGTCCTCACTTGTTTGGGCATGTATTTATCATTAATAAGCATTACACATCTGAGAGAAATCATTTATTCTTTTGGGAGAGAATAAGAATTAAAGCTCGTGTGAGATAATTTGTGGCGGTCATGTGATCCAGTGCCCGGTGCCCAGTGGGACCACCTAAGTGCTGGTTTCCATCTGCTTTCTTTCTTCCTTCTTTTTCTTTTTTATTCTTTTGAGAGAATAAAATTCTCTTTTGAGAGAGAGAGAGTCCCAAGCAGGCTCTGTGCTCTCAGTGCAGAGCCTCACGTGGGGCTCCATCCCATGCCCTGGGATGGTGACATGAGCCAGAATCCAGAGTCAGCTGCTGAGCCAGCTGAGCCACCCAGAAGCCCCTGTCACTGTGTAGAACAATGAATAATAAGCCAGTATCATGGTAAGTTCCATACATGACTAACGAAATGCTAGTGTTGTTAGGAAGCTGCACGTTCTTACAGTTTGAGTTTCGTCTATTAGAGCTGTTATCGTCCTCAGATTGCCTGAGCTTTGTGCAGTGAGTGCCCACTTACGTTGGCTCTTAGGTCATTTTGACAGGAACCCAGTTGTCTCCTTGACGACTCCCTTACTTTCGGCCCCCAAGTATGCCCGCCCATCTTGGACAGTCTGGTGCCTCGTTTCTGGAATTAGTCATTTCTCCCGCCGCTTTTTACTGAAAAATGGTATCTAGCAACAGTAGTGTGGTTGGGGAACGGCTGGTGCTTTCAGGCCTTCCCAGTAGATGGCTGTTATATTGGTGTTTTTGTTCTTAGCAAGAGGAAACTGAATCAGTAGTTTGTAGTCATATTTTGAACTTCGATGAAAGGTTGTAATGTTTTTACTTAATTTTTTAATTGGTGCCGGACATTTTATTTACTCGTTATTTTTTAAATTAAAATACCACACCTGGGGCGCCTGGGTGGCGCAGTCGGTTAAGCTTCCGACTTCAGCCAGGTCACGATCTCGCGGTCCGTGAGTTCGAGCCCCGCGTCGGGCTCTGGGCTGATGGCTCAGAGCCTGGAGCCTGTTTCCGATTCTGTGTCTCCCTCTCTCTCTGCCCCTCCCCCGTTCATGCACTGTCTCTCTCTGTCCCAAAAATAAATAAAAAACGTTGAAAAATAAAACTTTAAAAAAAAAAAAATACCACACCTTTTATTCATTTAAACTATAGACAATTTTTTTTTTTTTTAAAAGTAGGCTCCATGGCCAGCCTGGGGCTTGATCTCAACAACCCTGAGATCAACAGTTGGTTGTGTGTGCTGCCAACTGAGCCAGCCGGGTGCCCCTGATGGGGGAAGTTTTAGATACAAAATACAACAATTTGTTTTCTACTACTGTAAACTACACATAACAGGGTTGTTAACATTATTTCATTAGTAGAATGGAACTTAATGCAGAATAATGAAAATTAGAAGTTTTTACATGTGTTGAGGACTCTAAAACGTTGCTTAAATGAACTTTAAACACGTTTAAAAACATTTAGATTTGATGTTTTCATAAGGTTTGAGCACATGGACAGTAGTGTAATGATAGATCTTCGAGCGCCACTTTGATGACTGATGAGTCGTAATTCTCAAGATTAGTCTTATCGCTCATTTCAGTGAACCTAGTTTAAATAAATTCTGGCTCAGTATATTTAGACTTTAGATTGATTTAAATAAATTTGTTGTTTTGATATTTTATGTTTTAGGTCTTGGCTGTTAGAACAATTCATGAGAAGCTTCTTTATTTTTTACCTGCCAGTGAAGAGAAAATGATATGCCTGACTCGAGTATTTGAACCCTTTACCGGCCTGAATCCTGTGCATTATAATCCATATACTGAGGTTGAATCCTGTTTTGTCTGTCAATTTCCTGTTTGTGTCGTCCTTCTCAAGGCAGACATTTATATACTAAAAGTCTAATAATGTTGTTAATTTGTTTAGCCTTTATGGAAAGCTGCAGTGTCTCAGTATGAAAAAATTATTGCACCTGCGGAACAGAAAATAGCAGGAAAATTGAAAATTTATATTTCAGAAATTCAGGACAGCCCACAGCAGGTAAAATGCTGAAATATTTCCCTTAAGCTGTTTTAGGAGATATTTATATATTTACTAAGTTGATCAACTTAGGATGAATATATACTGTTTTTATTTTACGTTAGCTTCTTCAAGCGTTTCTGAAATACAAAGAGCTGGTGAAGCGTCCAACTATAAGTAAAGAATTGATGTTGGAAAGAGAAACTTTACTGGCAAGACTTGTGGACTCAGTAAAAGGTAAAAGTTTATCAGAGATTATAGCGTTTACCTGAGAAAATATTTTTGTAGGTTACTTTTTCTCATATACTATTTAGGATTAAGACAGTATCTTATAACAATATAGGTGGAAGATTAATTTACTATTTTTGTTACAGATTTTTGTTTATTCTTTTTTTTTTTTTTAATTTTTTTTCAACGTTTAATTATTTTTGGGACAGAGAGAGACAGAGCATGAACGGGGGAGGGGCAGAGAGAGAGGGAGACACAGAATCGGAAACAGGCTCCAGGCTCTGCACCATCAGCCCAGAGCCCGACGCGGGGCTCGAACTCACGGACCGCGAGATCGTGACCTGGCTGAAGTCGGACGCTTAACTGACTGCGCCACCCAGGCGCCCCATGTTTATTCTTTTAAATGTTTATTTTTGAGAGAGTGCGAGTTGGGGAGGAGCAGAGAGAGAGGGAGACAGAGGGTCTGAGGCAGGCTCCAAGTTGTCAGCACAGCTGTCAGCCCCATGTGGAGCTTGAACTCACGAACCACGAAAACATGTCCTGGGCCGAATTCGGACACTCAACCACCTGAGCCATCCAGGCGCCCCAAATTACAGATTTTAAAAATTAGTTATTTTCTTTCTCTGTCTCATTGGAGGCATGGTAAGGTTCCTGAGGGCAAAGGACCAAGTCTTACTATTTTTCTGTTCACCACCTTTAATGTACTACTTGGTGCATGGAAAGCATTTAGGAAATACTTGCCGAATGTGTGTAATCATTTATTTGACTTAAATGTTACAGATTTTCGATTAGACTTTGAGAATCGATGCCGAGGAGTTCCTGGTGAGGCGTCTGGACCGCTTGCTGGCAAAAACCTGTCGGAAGTTGTTAATAATATAGTTTGGGTTCGCCAGTTGGAACTGAAGGTATTAGTTTTGATAGATGTTGAAGGATACTAGTTGTAAAATGTGCCAAAGTAATGTAGAAGGCACTCTAGAACTGGAGTGAAAACATTAAAAACATTCTCCGTTTTCTTTGGCGTATCCATCTAATTTTCTTGTGCAGATTTCCGAAAAAGGGTATAGACGTGGCTGTAATGGTCTACTCATTTTTATGTAGGGATAATTATCAAGTCATTTATTACCCAGGTGCCGTTGTTACAGGTAAAGTGCCTTCTTAGAAATATCCAAGAGGAAACCATCTTTTACTTATTTTCAAAGGATTGTTTTAATCCTTTGAGATTATCATAGTAGAATGTTGGTCATTGTGAGGTCTCTCTGAAAGTGTATTTCTGTGAGTAAATCATTCTTGGTTGGAGGGAGTTAAAGGAAATGTGAAGGTAATTATGACTTTGCATGAGGTAGTGTCAGCAGTTTCTGGGTTTAACTGCTATTATGTTAATGTTTTAGTATTACTAAAATTGATGTCAGATTCTCACGTACTCACTATTTAATGTACATGTTATGGCACTTGACTCATATAATGAACGTTACCTGGTTATAGTCTGTGACTAAGAGCCAGAAGACGTAGCGTATTATAAAGGCTAGTATATTTGAGAGTTCTGCCTATTGAAGTTTGTATTTTTGATGTTTTATTTTCTGGAATATTCTGCCCAATTTTGTCAGTCAGCTTTCCAAATTGCTATAAGGTTCTTTGTACAGTTGTGGAAGAAAGGCATTTCTTTCTTTTGATTGCTATTCCGACTGGCAGTTATTGTTTGAGCTGTTTGCGAGAGCACTTAGCACATTATTGCTTCCTTTGTTTAGGGACATTGCTGAATTCTTGGGAGTTTGCCTTGAATTTCCCTTACCTTACCCTTCAGGTTATACCCAGTTGGCATTATCATCTGTGTTTTGTTGTTCTGAGGTTGTCTAAAGCGGAGCAGAGTAGGGGTTGATTTTCTTACATTCCTTGGCAAGTTTTCTATTTTACTGTGTATAGTTGAAGGGAAAATAATTTCTGAATCACAGATTAGAGAATGTGGTTCCTTTTGTGCTAATCTTATAATAAGTATTAATACATTCTTGTAATATTCATGTAATTTGGCTTTTTAAGGTGGATGATACTCTCAAGATTGCAGAGGCTCTTTTATCTGACTTGTCAGGATTTCGATCTTTCCATCGAGCTGCCGAAGATCTGTTAGACCAGTTTAAACTGTATGAACAAGAACAATTTGATGATTGGTCCAGGGACATTCAGTCCGGTTTGTCTGATTCCAGATCCGGCTTGTGGTAAGTGTAACTACACTAAACAGTGAAATCTACACAAGGATCTTGTTTCTTATATGTGAGTAATCTAAGTGACAGGATGCAATTAATGATCTCTCTTCTCTCCTTTCCCCAAACTTGCTGCTGCTCCTTAAAAAATTTTGTGTTAGTTTTTGATTTTCAGCTTTTAAGTCCTGACAGTTGGGGACTTGGGAGATTGAGTTAGTTGGCCACCCGCCTTGCTTCTTGGGTCTGTTTCTCAGACCTACAGATTCTGATTTTGGAATGAGGCTGTCCTTTCCCATGGTTCTTTGCTATCGATATTCATATATGTTTTTCTACCTTTTTTACATGAAGATTATTTACATGGACACACACACAAACACACCATTATCAGTTGTAAAATTTCATAATTTCAAACTCTTTGAGGTAGAGAGTATTTCTTTACGAAATACTCTTATGGCGCCTACCATAGGGTAAGGGTTTGGTCAACATTTATCGAGCTAGATTGAACCTAATTTAGTTGGCTAACCTAATTACTCTAATGGCTGTTTAAAATGGATGGTCTAGGGGTGCCTGGGTGGCTCAGTTTATACAGCATCCGACTTCAGCTCAGGTCATGATCTCACAGTCTGTGGTTTCGAGTCCTATGTTGGGCTCTATGCTGACAGGTCAGCCTGGAGCCTGCTTCAGATTCTGTGTCTCCCTCTCTCTCTGCCCCTCCCCTGCTCATGCTTTGTCTCTCTTTGTCTCAAAAATAAATAAAAACATTAAAATAAAATAAAAAGAAAAAATGTCCTGTTTAAAAAAAAGAAGTATGGTCTGGAAAAACCATTGTTTCTTTGTTCAGGTAAACTTAGTGTATTATTATATTTTTAGAAACTAGTCATGTTTTAGTTTTTAGAATCTTGTTACTTTTCAAAAGTTAATTTCGTTCATAATATGAAATTCTGTGTATTTTCCCTGTGCTGCTACAAAGAATATTTAGGTCCAAAGATGGTAGCTTCTTAGACTGAATGAATAATTTTCTTCCCCTTATCTTTCATTTTGATTGTGTTCTTCTCTTCAAAGAACCAGAAAGTACCAGGGCATAATGGTTATAACTGTGCCATGTAACTCTTTCCCTTCCTACTGAAACCTGAAATAGGAGAGATGCTGGGGAAAAAAGCTCTGTAGTCAAGTACATTTGGGCAATTTTCACACTTTCATCCGTGTAGTTCTAGTGGAGATCCTCTGTGTATAATAGCATGCCAGAGGATTGAGACTTTCTGGAAAGAAGTCTGTTCAACTTTGTTTATCCTGGTGTTTTCCATTTGCCGATGAAATACTCTGACTTCTGCTTTTTTTTCTGGGCAAAACCCATCACTGTTCCATAAAATTAGTGTGTTTTAGAATATATTTCAGGATATGCTGGTATATAGAAAGTAATTTTGAAGGTTAGTTGCAAATAAAGAAAGGCAGAGAAACTGACCATTAAAATTTTCTGACAGGCTTTACGTTATAGGAAAGTTGGGGCTGAATCATTATTCTAAGCCATTTTAAAGTATCTACCTTTTTTAACTTTTTTTTTTAAGTTTATTTATTTTGAGAGAGAGTGTGCTCATGCACAAACTGGGGGGGGGGGGCCCGGCAAAAAGAGGGGGGGAGGGAGAGGGGAAAGAGAGAATCACAAGCAGGCTCCACGCTGTCAGCACAGAGCCTGTCGTGGGACTCGATCCCACGAACCATGAGATCATGACCTGAGCTAAAACCAAGAGTCAGCTGCTTAATCAACTGAGCCACACAGGTGCCCCCAAAGTGTCTCCCTTTTATTATGCTTTATTATATGTGTTGTTACGTGGGTGGGATAGATTTGTTCTTTGCTTTTCAATAGCTTGCGTTTTAAGACCTACGTGTTTTCTAAATGATAAAAGTGATTCGAAGGAATAAGCATTATATAAACCTGATCCTGAAAGAGAGGTCATGAGAATAAAATACTTGTTGATCACTTTAGCTCAGTGTTGTCACAGTCCACGCTGACTTGAATGACCTGATTTAAAAGTAGCTGCTGTAGCCTTGAAAGAAACACAAAGGCCAGTCCTTAGGTAGAGAAACAAAGATCCGAGGAATGAAACATTTGAGTATCTCTACTCCTACCATTTTTATGTTCTTTGTCACTGATCCTTTTTTTTTTAAATTTTTTTAATGTTTATTTCTGAGACAGAGACAGAGCATCAGTGGGGGAGGGGCAGAGAGAGAGGGACGCAGAATCTGAAGCAGGCTCCAGGCTCTGAGCTGTCAGCACAGAGCCCCATGTGGGGCTCGAACTCACAGACTGCAAGATTATGACCTGAGCCAAAGCTGGACTCTCAACCGACTGAGCCACCCAGGCACCCTATCATTGATCCTTTAATGAAAGTATTACAGGGCCAAGTAGGCTGACTCAAAAAAAAAAAAAAAAAAAAAAAAATCCAAGGTACCCTTTAGAAGATGAATCAGCACCTTTTCTCTTTTTTTAAATTTTTACATTTTTGTAATGTTTATTTTTTGAAAGAGAAACAGAGAGAGAGCACTAACAGGGGAGGGGCAGAGAGAGAGGGAGCCACAGAATCTGAAGTAGGCTCCATGCTCTGAACTGTCAGAACAGAGTCCGATGCGGGGCTCAAACTCAGGAATGGTGAGATCATGACCTGAGCCGAAGTCGGTTGCTTAACTGACTGAACCCCCAGGTTCCCCCCAACCTTTTCTGTTTATGGTGAATATGATGTGAGTTTTGAGTCTTAGCTGAAGGCTAAGCAACTGATTTTTCTGACTTCAAAAAACTGCTTGAGTGAAATATTAATGTGATGGTGTAGTTTGGGTATTGCAGTTTATTACCAAGATCTGAATTGTGAGATACTATGTAGAAAAAAAGATTACTTGGAAACTATGATTAAAAATTTTTTTTTACTTTGAGTTAATTTTATATTTATAGAAAAGTTATAAACACTATTGTGTTTTTTATGTCAAGAGTGAGAACGTGAAACTTAAGAAGTTATTTTATTTTGTAGCATCGAGGCTAATAGTCGAATTATGGAATTGGATCCTAGTGATGGATCATTAAAGGTGCATTATTCAGATCGGTTGGTGATTCTCCTGAGAGAAGTTCGTCAGCTTTCTGCTCTTGGCTTTGTTATTCCTGCCAAAATACAGCAAGTTGCAAACATTGCACAGAAATTCTGCAAGCAAGCAATTATTCTTAAACAAGTATGGCATTACATTTTTGAATATATGACTGTTCTGAGTTCATTGCATTCGACTATTTTAAGGGCTTCATTTTCTACTTTTGTTATTTTTTAGGCTAATAGAATAGCACCAGTGAGTCTTGTGAAATTATGGTTTGCTAAATGACTACTTTACAAAATTTGCTTTTTAAGCCTATAGAGGAATTCATTAATTTGAAGTATTGATACTCATTCTAAAAACATTTGGAAAATTAGAATGTAATTTTTCTTTTTTTTTCCTTTTTCTTTCATGTTACATGCATGGATATTAAAGGACTTTCTAACCAAAGCGTCCTCTCTCCTCCGCTCACCTTCAGTAGGCAGGTTCTTAGAGATTTACAAGGCTGATGGACTAGTCTCTATTTTTGGTCATTTCCTGGGTCTATCTGTTCAGCACATTGCCATCATATCATTTACCTGTTTATTTTTTTAATGTTTTTTAAAGTTTGCTTATTTATTTTGAGAAAGAGAGCGGGCACATGTTTGTTAGTGGCAGAAGCAGGCGGAGGGAGGGAGGGAGGGGGAGAGAGAGAGAGAGAGAGAGAGAGAGAGAGAGAGAGAGAGAGAAAGAGAAAGAAAGCCAAGTAGGCTGCACTGTCAGCGCAGAGCCCAGTGCGGGCTCAAACTCATGAACTATGAGGTCATGACCTGAGCCGAAATCAAGAGTCAGGTGCTTCACCCATAGAGCCACCCAGGTGCCCCACATTTCCCTGTTTAAAGCCAACTATTACCCCTCGTTGTGTGTCTCTTTAGCACAGTCCTCAGGCCCTTGTTAATCATGCTCTAACTGACCTGACTGGCTGTGGCCTTCACCTCCTGGACTCTTCCCTTCAGGTTGTGCCCTATGCTTCAATCACACGAGACCCGGTTCTCCTCTGAACATGTCTCCATGCATGGATACCTGTTCCTTCTTAGTAGAAAACTCAGAGTCATCCCTAATTCCCCACTCAGAAATCTCTTTGTTTTGTCTTCCTTTGGGTGATCCGTCCTTACTCCGTATGCAGTATGCACATCAGTCTTGAACGCTTTTCTGTAGTATTGGATGTGTTTTGTCTTTTCGCTCATGTAATTAACAGATCTTAGAGGTCAGGAATGGTATCTTAGAGACAAGAATAGTATCTTAGAGGCAGGAGTGGTATCTTTGAGGCAGGAGTGGTATCTTAGAGCAGGAGTGGTGTCTTAGTGGTCAGGAACAGTATGTTAGTGGTCAGGAACAATATATTAGAGGCAAGAGCAGTATCCTGCATGTCTTGCTCTCCATCTGTTCTTTGAGCGAGGATCCACTGAGCACCTGTACTGCTGTGCACAGTGTAGCGAGGGTGTGAGATGAATACGCGGCTGCTGTATTCTGGCACATGGTTTCTCGGCCTCAGCACTGTTAACATTTTGCACCACTTCTTTTCTGTGGGGGCGTCCTGTGCATTTTAGTAGCCTCTCTGGCCGGTAGCACCTGCCTAGTACTGACATTCAAAGGTGTCTCCTGACGTTGCCAAGTGTCCCCTTGGGTGCAAATCAACCATGGTTGCGAACCACTGGTCTAGAGGGAGAGAGCGAAATAAATAATGAATCCTCATAAATATCAGGCCTTCTGGTAATTACCTTATTTATGTTATTTCAGTTACTCCCCGTTTTTCACATAACTGATTGGGGATCCGATTCATAACATAGTTTTTCTGATGCCATGTAGCTAGTAAGTGATGAAGCTGGGATTTGATACCAAAGGTGGCTCCAAAGCCCATATTTATTCCATTAAGTTTATGTACTGATGACAGATAAGTGAAAACTTGATAAAACAGGTATTGGGGTACCTGGGAGGCTCAGTCATTTGAGCATCCAACTTCGACTCAGGTCATGATCTCGTGGTTCGTGGGTTCGAGCCCTGTGTTGGGCTCTGTGCTGACTGTGGAGGCTGGATCCTGCTTCAGATTCTGGGGTATCGCTCTCTCTGCTCCTCCCCCAGTCATGCTCTGTCTCTCTGTCTCTCTCTCTCTCTCTCTCTCTCTCTCTCAAAAGTAAATAAACATTTAAAAAATAGGTAATACATTACGAGTACTCTATTAAAGATTTTGTAAAGTCCCAGGAAAGCATAGAGGTGGCAATTTTCAGTTATTTCCTGGGTAGGGGTAGAGGCAGTATCAGATAAATCCTTATGGAGGAATGCTGTTTGGTGTGAGCCTGGAGGGGTATGTGGGTTCTCTCAGGAGCACGAGGGTGGGGTGGGTGAGTGTTACACAGAGGGGCTGCGTCTTCGAAAGCAGAGAGGCTTGCTCACTCTCGTATACTGTGTATTTAGTGCACGACACAGGAGCTCCAAGGATGAGTGTGGTCATGTAGCATCGGCATTTCCCCTGGGGAGATCTGTTTACGCGTACCTTCACTTCTGAGCAAGAATTCAGCCGGAGCAGGGAGTGGGAAGTGGGAGTTGGTTAGAGAGTAGCTCAGCCAGATTGCTGTAATTCTGTGTATTCTTTTGCTTCTAGTGTTCTGGAATAGGCTTTTTCTTGGACCGCGACTGTGGTGTAGAATAAATACCCTGGATATCCTCCACCAAATACAGCCTATTTTTATATGTACTAGTGGCAGGAAGCAGACCATCTATAAAATTAGAAATATTTTTTAAGAATGTACTCTGGGCCAAGTGTATTGTGAGGTGCTGGGGATACAGACATGAAAAGACCATCGTTTTCAATTCCTTCGACTTACTCCATGGTGTCCACTTGATCTGCTTCCCTGAACCTCTCTTTTTCCCCCAACAGAGTTGACAGTTGCTCTTTCGTTCATCAGTGTACCTTGTGGGTATCTCTGGTTTTTGATTCCTTGATTGAAGAAATAATTACCAAGTGCCTACTATTTGCTAGATGCTGTTCTTGAAGCAGGTGTTGTAATTTGGGAGCTAGTGTAGTGCTAAGTACTGTGAAGCAAAAGAAAAAACGATTGGAGCAGAGACTGCCGTGTTATACACAGTGGCCAGGGTAGGCCTTGAAAGGTGATATTTGGGAAGAGATACGACTTCAGGTGACACAGAACCTTGCAGGTGTCTGGAGGGTGCGGGATGTTCACACGTGGCTCCTGAGGGAGACTCCCCTGGAGGTCACAGGAGCAGCAAGGAGCCCAGCGTGGCCGCCCTGCAGTGAGGCTCTGTGGTGGGGCAGCTTATGTAAAACGTATGTTCTGGGGGAGCGGCATGGCTTGGGGATTTGGGTTTTATTCGACAGCGTATTGGGAAGCCAGTGGAAGGTTTTAGGTGAGAGTGTTGGGATTTGGGATTTTATTCTCACATGCAGTGGGGAGTCATCGGGAGTTTTGGTGTAGCAAATAGAATAGTGTGATTTATCTTTAGGAAGGACCACTCTGGCTTCTTTGAATGCTTTGAACAGACACTAGGAAGCCACCGCTGGAGACAGACCAGTTTGCAGACGGCCACACTGGTCTTGTCGAGTGACGGGGGTGCTCACCCTCCTTGGGGTTGGTGGACGTGGGTGACATGGTTGCCTGTAACGTATGTTGTAAAAGTGTAGGCAGTAGACAAATTCATGATTTCACTCGTGTAATTTAAGAAACAAAACTGACAAACATATGGGAAGGGAGGGAAAAAGAGAAGAAAACAAACCACAAGAGACTTTTTTTTTAAGTTTATTTATTTCAAAAGAGAGAAAGGGAGTGTGTTGGTGTGTGGGGGAGGGACTGAGAGAGAGACAGACAGACAGACAGACAGAATCCCAAGCAAGTCTTGCTGTCAGCATAGAGTCCAATGCAGGACTCTATCCCACAACCTGTGAGTTGAGATAATACCTGAGCTGAAGTCAGACTCTCAACGGACTGAGAGACCAGGCATCCTGTCTACAAGAGAGTCCTAAGTACAGACAATACCCTGAGGGCTGCTGGAGGGGGGGAGGGTGGGAGGATGAGTTACCTGGTGATGAGCCCCAGGGATTGTAGGTGAGAGCTGAATCACTGAATTCTCTCAAAACCAATACTGCTCAGTATGTTACTAACTAGAATTTGAATAAAAAATAAATAAAAACCAAACAAAAAGTATAGTCAGTAGACTTCATTGATGTGGGATGTAAAAGAAAAGTAAAGGACAACTCAAGGATCTCTTGGTCTGAGAAGTGGATTAATTGTTAAATGCTGACAAAGGAACACGTTTGCAGAGTTGCAGGAGTGAAGAGTTCAGTTTTTAGCATTTGATATGCTTTACTGGTTTCTTCCATATTTCCCTTGAGACTGTGAACTTCTTGGTCACAGGGACTGGGTTTTCTAGTCTTTGTTTAATCGGCCCCTGGGACGGGACTTGGCACATTGTGGGAACTCAGCAAGGAGTGACTGCGTATGTTAACATGGGCATCAGTGCTGTATTACAGATGAAAAGCTGCTTCTTGTTAAATCTTACGATGAGAAGCATTGATGTTTCCGTTCAAACAAGTAAAAATGAAAACAGGTGAAAAATTAAGTGTCTTAGTTATTAATGATTGTTGCTAATTGTACTTTTACTTTGTAGGTGGCACATTTTTACAATTCCATTGATCAACAAATGATTCAAAGTCAGAGACCAATGATGTTACAATCCGCATTAGCATTTGAACAGATAATTAAGGTAAATGGACTTTCTGTGTTATAATAATTAGATTTTTCTTGTGAGGTGTTTCTTGTTTCTTAGTTTTTTAGTGTACCCTTCAGCTTAATATTGATCTAAGGTTTTGTTCCCCAGTGACTTCCTTCACTCTTAACAAGTAACACTTGTAGATTTAAGTGGTTGTAGTGTTTCACATATTCAGGTGCTGAGTTTGATCCAGTGAATTAATACATGTAGTATACAACTTGTGTGCTATTATATTTACTTATTCACTGAATTGTGAGGTCTTTTTTTTTTTTTTTTTAAAGTTTATTTTTCATGGGCACCTGGGTGGCTCAGTCAGTTAAGCGTTGACTTCAGCTGAGGTCATGATCTCGTGGTTTGTGAGTTGGAGCCCCATGTCCGGCTCCGTGCTGACAGCTCAGAGCCTGGAGTCTGCTTGGGATTCTGTATCTCCCTTGCTTTCTGTCCCTCCCCCGTTTGCACTCTTGTCTCTCTCAAAAATAAATAACATTAAAAAGAATTTTATTTTTGAGAGAGACAGAGACAAAGTGTGAGTGGGGGAGGGGAAGAGAGAGAAAGGGAGACACAGAATCCCAAGCAGGCTCCCAGCTCTGAGATGTCAGCACAGAGCCTTATGCGGGGCTGGAACCCATGCGACCGTGAGATCATGACCTGAGCTGAGATCAAGAGTCAGATGCTTAACTGACTGAGCCACCCAGGCGCCCCTGAATTGTGAGGTCCTTATATACCAGTCTTTAATGCTTTTCTGTCGTCTCCTGATTTTATACTTTGAGATTTATTTGGCTTTTTTTTTATCTGTGCTTGTTTAAATATCCATGCATATGGCATTAGGAAAACCTACACTAGTTTTCAAACTATCCTATTACTATGTGACTTGTAGCTTTTTGAAACCTATAATTTTAGTCTTAACAGACATAAAATATTTAAAGATTAAGTAGAAGAGGAATATACCCTTTTCTTACTGTTTTATTTGTAAGTGGATCAGTGGTTGTGATTTTCCTCAAGACTGCGCCCAGTTTCTGTGCTTTTGTAGGAGGACTGCTAGGTCATGGTGTAGCTGTACTCACGGCCAATCTCCTTATGGTCTCCTGCAGCAGGAGGTGCAGAGCAGAGTCCATACAGGGAAGGGCCCGGAACGAAGGTTGGGCAAACGGGGCGCTTGCTGTCAGGAACCCCTCCCTGTGGATCCACACAGGGCGTCCTCCACCTGCCCCCGCACCCCTGCCCTGCTCCCCATCACAAGTTGTAATACATGTGATGTTTTCTCATCGGGAAGACCATTAGAGACTCTGTACCTGGGCACTTTTGGGGGACTCGTCCTGGAGGTATCTTCTGCCTGATAATGTACCAAACTTCCAGATGCCCAGAAGGAGATCAAGTGTTGAGTATAAACTGTGTGGTTGAGCTACCATGAGCTGTCTTACAAGTTAGGGTGGTGGGGGGCCTCCAAGATCCACGTGTGCAGGTGCCAGGGCCTCGTCAGGGTCAGGGTCAGGATGTTAAATAGGCCTTTAAGGGATGGCAGTCAGATCTACTACATTAACTTTGTTCTGCTCACTAGTTCTCAGGCCTACAATTTACAACAAGTCCTATAATTCATATTACAGATTTTTAAATTTTTAAAATTTTTTTAATGAAAAATTTTTTATTGCGAAAGCTCCAAACTTTATAATGCAAAGTTTAAAAAACACAGGTAAACAACAGGAAAAAAGGTGTTTTAAAACTGTATCACCAAGAGATGGCCATTGTTAGCAGTCTGGAGTATATCCTTTAAATTTTTTTTTCTGTGCCTGTTTACAAGTGTACTTTTGAAAATGGGAAATATTTTATTATTTTTTTACCCCTTTTTACCAAATAGATAATGTTTAATTGCACACCTTTAGGACTTTTTCTTCTCTAATAAATATACTCAAAGAAATATTTGTTGATATTTCTATGAGAAATTGGGTTGTGAGAAGTACATCATTATATTAGCATATGTTAAATGAGACCGAATAGTAGAGAAGAAACCAAGATGGAAGGAGCAAGAACGCCGAGGTTCTTTCTAATCCTCTGGCCACTCGCTGTCTCCGAGGGCAGGGACTCTGACTTACCTTCATGACCTGTAGCAGTGCGACAGTGGGTCATGTGTGGTGGTTGCTCATTCATGCTTTCTAGGCTGTTGCATGGAGTGCTCTGTTGGATTGAATACGATTGCGTTTCATCCATTCAGTGGCTGTATGGAGGGTCTGCTGTATTCTGGACGTGAGTGATCCCCTGCCTTGCCAGGCAGCACGTCAAGGACGTGTAGAAACCTGGCTGCTGTTGGGCACTTTCTCCCCTCCATCCTTACATATTTGTCCTGACTGTGGAGTACTGTCTGTGTGTACACAGCACCAGGCACATGGGGTTTTGATTTTTGCTTCAGTCATCAGGTAGGATTTAAGAAATTCACAAGAAGGACAGTTTGTTTTGTATTGACATTTCCCTAACCCCAGAGTTTTCCTTTGCTTTTGAGGTCCTTACCGAGAGAATTGGCTTTAGCCATGTCTTACGAGCAGCTTTGCAACGGATTCTCTTGTCTTTTCCTTTGTCCCGCAATGTCTGTATTCCCCCCTTTACCGAAGGATATTGTTACCAGGAATGAAAGTCACAGTTGACAGATCTGTTAGCACTTTCAGAATCTCCTACTTCCTCCTGGCTGTCACGGTCTTAGCTTTTGAGTTTGCGGTCCTTTCTGAGTAGCGTTTCTCTGTGACGGAGTGAAGCGTAGTGATTCCCGAGTGAGTGTGTGTGCTCCACACTCCGCTGGGCCCGCAGGAACCGTCCTGGACTTGCTCGGCTTCCCGTGAGGGAGTGGGAGTTGAGTGCCCCGTTCAGGGCACTGACACCTTCCCTTGAGGGCGGTCCCGGCCTGTGCTGCCCCTAAGCAGGGTATGAGCCTGGCCCCTTCTCGAGCCCCGTTCACGTGGCTGGGAGGGAGCACTGGGCTGACCTGCCTGCCCGGGGGTGGGCAGCTCGTTGTTCAGCCAGCCTTCCCTTGGCCGGGACTTGAACACTCCTGGCCTTTCATTGGTGGATGGAGGGTCAGCTCCCTGTTTGGTTCTGCTCAGGCTGCAGAGCTGTGGCGCTTCTGTTGGTGTTTGGCCAGAGGAGGGTGGGTATCGCTGAAGGTTCCCTTGGACCACAGTGTTCCCAGTCCTTTGGCCAGAGGGAGCCGGCCTCTTCCGGAGCTTGTGGTGTGTTCCTGGAGGTGGCTCCTGGTGGGAGGCGTGTCCATCGCCCTGTCCTGCACATATGGAGATGGTGAGGAAGCGTGCATGTGTCTCTCCTCAGCTCTCCAGGCCTCAAGGTCGTCTGCTGCCTTCCACCTGTCATTCCTGTGTGTGTGTGTGTGTGTGTGTGTGTGTGCGCGCGTGCGCGTGTGTGTGTGTGTGTGTGTGTGAGGGAGAGAGAGAGAGAGAGGTCAGTCTAGCTCATCTAGGGCTGTTTCACTCTAAGAGAGGAAACTTGGGAGGGAGGGAGCTATTCATTTTGCCACATTGCCTTATTGTTTATAAAATGGAATCATTACTCTATGCGTCCTCATTGCAGATAGTGGTAGGAATAACTGTACTGAAGATGGACAGTGTGAAATCTTGTGGAAAAAAGAAATGCATTGTATCGCTAAATGGCATTTGTTGTACCTTAGAATTCAAAAGCAGGAAGTGGGGGAAAGTCACAGATTACTTGGGATAATCCTAAAGAATTAGAAGCCTACATCCAGAAGCTCCAAAATGCTGCCCAACGACTTGCCACTGAAAATAGAAAACTGAGAAAATGGCACACTACATTTTGTGAAAAGGTAGGTTTTATTTGTACAATTAGATAATCTATGAAGAGTATTATTAAAATGGTAATTGGGATGTAATTTTATTCTTTTTAAATTAAAAAAAATTAAGTTTATTTATTTTTGAGAGAGGGACAGAGCAGGACAGGGGCAGAGAGTGAGAGTGAGAGTGAGAGTGAGAGAGAGAGAGAGAGAGAGAGAATCCCAAGCAGGCTCTGCACTGTCAGCACAGAGCCCGATGTGGGTGGGACTCGAACTCAGAAACTGTGAGATCATGACCTGGACTGAAATCAAGAGTTGGATGCTTAGTTGATTGAACCCCCCCCCCAGGCACCGTGTGTTATAATTTGAAATAGTTTTTACTTATTTGAAAGTCTAATTATTTAACAGACTTACGGTTGCCAAAATTGTACAGAGTTCACACTTATTGACTTCCTCTGTTGTTAACAACTTGAATAACCATACTACATTTATGATAACTAGGCAATAGGCGGGTTTTGAATTTTACAGCTTTTCCACTGATGTCTTTTTGCATTTGGTCGTTGAGTCTCTGTAGTCTCCTCCTCCTTCTGAGACTTTCCTTGCTTGTCATCACCTTGATACTCGTTACAGAATCGGTCATTTTTTTGTAGAAAGTGTCTCAATGTGGTTTGTATGAAGCTCTCTCATTCTTAGATCACGGTGATGCGGTTCTGACAGAAATACCGCAGCAGCGATGTTTGCCTTTGTCGGGGTATCAATCAGTTATTTCTATGTCTTACTATCGGTTGAATTAATCTCGATCACTCGGTTGAGGTGGTTGGTATCTGTCAGGTTTTCCTACCGAAAAGTTACTGCTTTTCCAGGGTTACTTTGCGACTGCTGTGCTTTAATTTTTAACAGGTCGTCTTTCTCATGAACATTGATCTGCTTCGGCAGCAGCAGCGTTGGAAAGATGGATTACAAGAACTGAGAACTGGCTTAGTGAGCGTAGAAGCCCAGGTAATTATGTTTTCCTTGGTGTCTACTCTTCAAGTGTGATCTTTTCAGAAGGTAAATATAGGAGTTGAGGACGAGTTCATAAAGGTTATCTGTAAATCTTTACTAAGAAATTTCTAATAAATGTAGAGTTCTACCGAATTGTATATAAAGACCACAAATTAGCAATGCATTTACATTTAAAAATATAAAAATAAGTTTTCATTTATCTTTTGGAACGTCCAGTTTCTCAGTTCAGACTTAGTAGTTTCTTTGACTTGGTGCTTAAACGTTACCATTGTTTAGTTTTCTTTTAGCTGGTGTAGACATGTGTAGAAGAACATGAAGCGACGTTGGGCAGAAGCCCAGTAATTGAAATAACCGTTTCAGAGTGTTTTCCTTTTTTTGGGGTAAAATTCCATTTCTATACACATTTTGATAAATTATGATATTTATGTAAGTGTAATGCACAGAGCCTCCTGCCCGGTCTGTGGTAGGGGGTCTTAGCTGAGGATGAATTACGTGTCTTATCTGTTTACATGTAGTTTTCAGTTCTTAAATTAAAAAAAAAATTTTTTAATGTTTGTTTATTTTTGAGAGAGAGAGAGACAGAGTGTGAGTTTGGGAGGGGCAGAGAGAGAGAGAGAGACAGAGAATCCGAAGCAGTCTCCAGGCTCTGAGCTGTCAGCACAGAGCCCGATGTGGGGTCGAACTCATGAACCATGAGATCACGACCTGAGCTGAAGTCGGATGCTTAACCGACTGAGCCACCCGGTGCCCTGAGATTTTTTTTTCAATTCTTTTTAAGTTTATTTCTTTTTTTCTTTTGAGAAAGAGGGAGCATGTGCACGCACACACAGGGGTGGAGGGTGGCAGGCAGAGACAGCCGGAGAGGGGGAATCCCAAGCAGGCTCTGTGCCGCCAGCACAGAGCCTGATCCAGGCCTTAAACTCGTGATCCCCGAGATCATGAGCTGAGCTGAAAGCAAGAGTCAGACACTTAGCCGACTGAGCCACCTGGGAGCTCCCAATTCTTAGATCTTGAAGAAAAAACAAGTGTTAGCATTAATGTATTTATGGTTATATGGAAGCACAAAGAGTGTAAACTGTCTTGAGCATCTTCATATTTTTCAGTTGATTATTTTTTAAAAATGTGCGGTGGATTATTTAGGGGGTGAAGAAGGAAGAGAAGAGCTGCACTTGATGGGGGTTTTAGAAAGAGGTCTAAGAAGTTGATCAAATAAACCACTGACTTTTTTTTAGCGCCATAGTATAAAACTCATATATAACATCCACTTAACGTTAATTTGATATTTTAAGTTTTGCCGGTCTTTTTGTGGACTATTTAAAAGCATGAAGCTTGGAAATTTTTATATTTGACTTTATATAAACTGTCCTACTACAGGTAGCAGTGAAGGAGTTGCATGTTTTAAGATGTTAAAAATGGGTTGGTTTTTTTTTTGTTTTTTGCTTATAATTTAACTATATACGATTTAAATGCTTTAAATGAAGACCCCATTTGTCGTAGAATCTAAGTCTAAAGTTCTCTCTTGTGGAGCAAGAGAGTGGGACGCAGGATTAAAGTGAGAGATGACTAATGTCCAGAAAAGACAAGAGCCCCAAATAAGGGCCCTTGCTCTGCTTTTATTAGCATCAGAAGGCTTACAAACATGGCAATGGACGCGCACAAAGGGACAATGAATCTGTGAACATTAACTTGTGGATATGAGGGAAAGGGGGTCTTGAAGACATTCGGGGTTAGGGGTTTGGGTTAATACACAACAACGTTGGGGCACCGGGCAGCCTGGCGGAAGGTTGTTTACAGAGGGCAGGAGGCAGCACCTTTGTTTATCTTAGCCTAGGGGACGAGGCAGGTAGGACACGTGACCTCAGGGTTGCCAAAGCACCTTTCTTTTGTTGTTGTTTTTTTAATATGAAATGTATTATCAAATTGGTTTCCATACAACACCCAGTGCTCGTCCCAACAGGTGCCCTCCTCAATACCTATCACTGCAAATGCACCTTTCTTTTGTTAATCATCTCCGCTCTGGGCAGCTTCACTGCCCCACAGGGTCTATAGCCCAATTTACCTGTTTACCTAACTTCAGCCTTCCCTCCTGTGAAAGCAGCTTTCTGCTCTAGTACTAAATGGGTGGGTGGGTGGGGGGTGTTTTTGCCCTGAATGCCTAATCTTGTTTACCTCATATACCTTTGTATTGGGGGCCTTTGTCCCCTCTCTCTATTCTGGGGGACTTGGCCCCCCTTCTCTGTCCTTATTTGCCCAATCTTGTTGTTGCAAACTTGGATGAGAGCATCCCATGGCCTTGTAATTCTCTGTGCCTTGTTAACCCATGGGTGTAGGCCCAAGGAGTTGCGAAGCTTATTCCCCACATCCATTCTGTCACCTGGTTTTTAAATAAAAAACGTGACTCTAACCTATCAGGGGTTCCAGGCCGGTGACATGCGTGCGTGGAAGCAGCACTGGAATCACCAGCTGTACAAAGCCCTCGAACACCAGTATCAGATGGGCCTGGAGGCACTCAATGAGAATCTGCCAGAAATAAGCATAGACCTAGTGTACAAGTAAGCTTTCTTACAGCCCCTTTCATTTTCAAACCATGTTTTTCCAGTAATTCATATGTTAAAGCTATTTCTTTGTTTTCAGACAGGGACGGTTACAATTCAGGCCTCCTCTTGAAGAAATCCGGGCTAAATATTACAGAGAAATGAAGAGGTTCATCGGCATTCCTAATCAGTTTAGGGGAGTGGGTGAGGCCGGAGATGAGTCTATTTTTTCTGTTATGATTGATAGAAATGCAAATGGATTTTTGACTATTTTCAGCAAAGCAGAAGATCTGTTTAGGAGACTATCAGCTGTTTTACACCAACATAAGGTATGGAACTTGTAATTGTCTGTTATTCTGTTATAACGTTTCATCTGATTGGTTGAATGAGTATTAAGTGTACTGATCTACGGTTTATCTTATGTGGCATAATGTAAAAGTACAGCAAGATGGGGAGCCAGTGTGAGGATTCCTGTACAACCCAGATTTACACCACAGATGAGAACCAAGATTTTTTTGTCTTTGACTTTTTGAAGACTGAGAAACTAGTTGCATCAGCTTCGGATGTGACAAGATTCTGTTGTGTCAATTTTAACTCCTCTTGGGAAACTATCTCCTTTCATTCAGTCTTTGAATCGACTGGCCCTTGGAGTGAGGTCTCAGATGTAGTGAGGTGGAGAGGATTTCACTTCTTCCTCGTGTTGGAGTGAACCTTGGCTGCTCAATGGGGAGAGACCCCAGCTGTGTCCCTCGTCCTTCCTTTCGCTCCCAAGACGCGTGACTGAGACGTCAGCCGGTCTCCCAGTTGCCACCGGGTGCTGCTTCTGACTGTCGGGTTTCTAGGACTGATTGAATGTGCATACATTCAAATTTGTAGCCTTGGCTTTGCCAAATGATTCTGTATTTGGATACATCAAATTTGAGAAGAGAATCTGAGAAAAGGGTTTTGTGGTCTTTTAAAAAAAGTTTGATGATCACTTACTTTTATATGTTAAATAGTTTTTTTAGGCTCTACAGTAATGGTTATATTTGAGTACTTAAATTGAAATTTACCTGAATACCTTAAATCTGTACCTTTTTATCAGTGGGCCCTAATATTTTTTATGTTAATAAATTCTGTTTCTTTAATATGTTTTCCATTCTTTAATAGGAATGGATCGTAATTGGACAAGTTGATATGGAAGCTCTAGTGGAAAAACATCTCTCTACAGTCCAAGATTGGGAGAAAAATTTCAAAGCACTGAAAATAAAAGGGAAAGAAGTAGAACGACTTCCGAGGTATGAGAAGTTAGAGTCGAGTTTCGGTCCCATTCAGTAAGAGGGAAAGAAGTAGGGGGGTCTCCGGGGCCTGAGAAGTTAGAGTTTCTGTCACGTTCCAGTGTTGTCATGACATGGTGAGGGTGCTCGTCAGTAGTGGCCTCGTGTCAGTCACCTTCTGCCTCCCGTAAAGCTTGGCCTTGGCTCTCGGGTATCGTCTGCGTCGGGTGCCGAGACGAAGGTATTTTTCTTCTGGAGGTTCTGCCGGCTGGGACCTAACTGGGGGGAGTCGATCGGGGCCTGAGGATGTGACATTTGACATACACAGGCATGGGCTACGAGCGCTAAGACTCGCCCGTGAGAATGTGCTCCGGGATATCAAGCCAATGCCGTTGGACTCTGGCTTTGTACTGCTCTGCCTCCTTTCGGGATACAGTGGCAGTCACACAGCCTGGTGCTGCATCGACATAGGGCCCGAGACGTGGTGGAGACCCTCTGAGGGGCGTGTCATAACCCAGCTACTTGAGAACGGAGTCCCCCTCCTACCTGAAATTCTTACCACTGGAACCACTCTTGGTAGGAAGCTCTATGACAGGCCTGTTTAACTGTGCATGTATTTCCTCTAAAGGATAAAACCACTTGTGTTAATCTCCTTGCTCATTCTCTCAACAAATATTGGGTGAGCGTGGATAATATGCAGAGCTTGTCCCGTGGGAGGATAAAGATGAGGAAGAGAGGACCTCACGTTGCTTCCTGTCTGCCGGTGCAGTGACCCATGACTCAGTACTCACAGGGGTTAAGGGAGTGGGCTCTGGGGGCAGATGGCTTGTCCCAGCTGCGTGACCGCGACTGCCATTTACACCCCGTGAGCCTCGATTTCCTCAGCTTTCCAATAGTTAATACAGAGGTGCCTGGGTGGCTCAGTCGGCTGAGCATCCGAGTCTTGGTTTCGGCTCGAGTCACGATCTCCCGGTTCATGGGAGCCCCATGTTGGGCTCTGCGTGGACAGTGTGGAGCCTGCTTGGGATTCTGTCTCTCCCTCTCTGCCCTCCCCTGCTTGTGCCCGCTCACTCTCTCTCAAAATAAAAAAAAAATAGTTAAGACAACTGTAATATTGATCACACGGTGTTTTGAGGATTAAATGAGTAATTTGAACACAAAGTACTGGTACGGGTGACATTCGCAGTGTATGTTACTTACTGTTAATTGTTATTAATACCAGATAGAATAGTGTGTCTCATTTTAGAGATTGAACTAAGGGCTGGGGAAGTGTATACAGCATGGCGGTGACATCCCATCCTTTCTGGGCAAAACTAGGGAAAGTTTCATTCAGATAGAAATCCTTGAACTGGAATTTTGACAGGAAAAGCGAGAACTGGAGGTTGCACCAGGGCGTCTCAGGAGAGGGGTTTGTATGCTGAAAATAAGTTGGTTAATTGAGAATTTGATGAATTAGCGTTTTATTAGGGGCTAGAGGGCCTGTTCCTGGAGAGGGGTAATGAAGGTACAGATTTGGGAGAGTTTTACGTTCCCATTGGGCAATTTGGATTTTATTCATATCAGAGTGGTTAGCTCTTGATTTCTCGTCCAAAAGGTGTCAGTACCTGCACATTAGGGGTGCTAGTCTGGAACGAGAGAGTTGTATGGTGCGAGAAAGAGACCATGGAGGAAGGGAGCTTAGTCTGTCATCACCCAGAAAACCAGCAGTAATTAATTGAATTAAGTTGTTGGTACTCCAAATGGGGAAGAGGAAATATTATGAAATATGAAACAGTATGAGGTATTAAGAGGTCTTAATTTTGGAGGAAGATGAGGGATGAGGAACAGAAAAGAGACAAATGTCCTGTGGGTTTGAGGTCAGAGGAGTTAGATGATGATATACCATTAATGTTGGTTGGAGGTAGGGAAGAGAGTGCTTTTGTAATTTTTGGGTACAAGGTTTCTCTTCTCTATTGGATACGGTCTTTGGTTTTTTTGTTGTTTTAATTTTGTTGTTGTTGTTGAGAGAATGAGAGTGCCGGTAGGGGACAGGGGCAGAGGGAGAGACAGAATCCCAAGCAGCCTCCACGTGGAGGCTCCATAATTTGGGGGTAGCCTATCTAGGGCTATCCCATTTTATTTGTGGCTGAAAGGAGCCTCATTTTCTTTCTTTCTTTTTTTTTTTTTATATTTTAGATAGGCTTTATTCTAAATATTTTTTTTTCAATATATGAAATTTATTGTCAAATTGGTTTCCATACAACACCCAGTGCCATCCCAAAAGGTCCCCTCCTCAATACCCATCACCCACCCCCCCCGCCCGCCCCCCCCCCCTAAACCCTTAGTTTGTTCTCAGTTTTTTAAGAGTCTCTTATGCTTTGGCTCTCTCCCACTCTAACCTCTTTTTTTTTTTTTTTCCTTCCCCTACCCCATGGGTTTCTGTTAAGTTTCTCAGGATCCACATAGGAGTGAAAACATATGGTATCTGTCTTTCTCTGTATGGCTTATTTCACTTAGCATCACACTCTCCAGTTCGTCCACGCTGCTACAAAGGGCCATATTTTGTTTTTTCTCATTGCCCTGTAGTACTCCATTGTGTATATAAACCACGATTTCTTTATCGATTCATCAGTTTATGGACATTTAGGCGCTTTCCATAATTTGGCTATTGTCGAGAGTGCTGCTATAAACATTGGGGTACAAGTGCCCCTATGCATCAGCACTCCTGTATCCCTTGGGTAAATTCCTAGCAGTGCTATTGCTGGGTCATAGGGTAGGTCTATTTTTAATTTTCTGAGGAACCTCCACACTGTTTTCCAGAGCGGCTGCACCAATTTGCATTCCCACCAACAGTGCAAGAGGGTTCCCGTTTCTCCACATCCTCTCCAGCATCTATAGTCTCCTGATTTGTTCATTTTGGCCACTCTGACTGGCGTGAGGTGATATCTGAGTGTGGTTTTGATTTGTATTTCCCTGATAAGGAGCGACGTTGAGCATCTTTTCATGTGCCTGTTGGCCATCCGGAT